ACTTTTCTTGTGCCGGTTTGAATTTCATCTCTAAAAATTACAGTCCACTGCATAAAGTCTTGCTCAAACAACCAATAATTATCTAATTATCGAGATATCACAAGGACCAATAAATATATATGTACAATCATAAATATCAATTATACAATGAAAGAAAAAAATAATCATTCATGTGCTGTAGATTCGAAGGCCAAAAGGTCTATGGGTGGTTTCTACTCATATCCATTGCAATAGCGATGACTTAATTACATGCTATTCGCATTGCTAATAAAAATATACCAGCTCGATCTTCGTAGGTGTCCAAGCACGTTCAAGAAGACATGCGGTATCAGTATTATTGAGAACAATTAAAAATATTGATAGTGTAGGAGAGGTAGAGGTGGTTATGATCATTTCATTATAGTATTTAATGATAGATAGGAGCATTTCCAAGGAGGATGTATGTACAAGGTGACGAGTAAATAAATACATACAGTGAGGACGTAAAAAGTCTTTCCCCCCTTGAACTTTTGAAATTCAGGTAAAAAGGAACCTTTTTTAGTACTTCTGAGCATGAAAATGTTTGTGGTCACGTGGCAAGTGGGCAACAACTACTTTTCTTTTCAAATTTAATGACGGGTCACGTTAGTACATTGTTTTGAAGGCGATTTGATTTTCTATCCCACACTGCTTCGTTTGTTCAAATCGACCAAGCCGTTTCGAAATGACGAGCGTTTGAATTTTCCTCGGAAACAGTAAATAACGTTGGGATTTTGTTCATTGATATCAATATTTCAAGCTAATTTCGAACGCTTTTCAGTTTGAAACGGCTTGGCCGATTTGCACAAAAGCCTTCAAAACCAGAAACCATGCAATTTGTTTCTCGTTATATTTATAGCTTGCTGACTTGAGGAAATGTCCTATGAAATAATTTGTTCCTAGTATATTTTCTCTAACGTAAACCGATGAGGCACAAATGCCCTCGCCAAATTGAAAATTTTGCCTATATTTTCTGTAGAGGCGAATTTCGGAAATAATATGAATGTGTATCAAAGGGGTCCCCAAATCTAATATAGGACATTATGAATAATTATCACGAAACAGTGACGTATATTTTATTCAATGAATCGATGAATTCATTAATTAATCCATTAACAATTTATGATCAATTAATTTCTGTTATTTTTTTCGCCAAATTGAAAATTTTGCCATATATTTTCTGTAGAGGCGAATTTCGGAAATAATATAAATGTGTATTAAACGGATCCCCAAATCTAATATAGGACATTATGAATAATTATTACGAAACGGTGACGTATATTTCATTCAATGAATCGATGAATTCATTAATTAATCCATTAACAATTTATGATCAATTAATTTCGATTTAAAAATCTGTTATTATTTTCAACGTGGCTTTCCCTGTGGCCTAATCCACTTAGGTACTAAAATTATTTTTGGAAAAGGCCAGCCGGACCTGGCTCGTTGATTTCCATATCTTGGACAGAGAAATGGTTACCTCAGCTTCAAAATCGATGTCAATTTCCTTCAACTCGTCGAATTCTCCTTCTACAGTCGATGAAGAATCATCAAGCAGCGAATGGAGGTCCTCTTCATCGGATTCGTCCAGTGTAATTTGGCTGATATTTTCACAAGTTTTCCCTTTGCATACACTGCAAATCATTGGACATCTCAATCCTGCTCTCCTGCATCCGCAGGCTCTACCACAAGCAGCCTTGCACTTACAAGATGAGTAGTTACTGGAGTGAGGCCAGTTTGTGTTTTCTTCCAACCCCATTATTCAACTACTATCGGACAGCCACGCCATAGTTGAACCTGATATTATGATCACAATGAATGCTGTCTTTGGATCCATAGAGGGGAAACTGGCCTCACTCAAGTAACTATACTTGTATACTTGCTTGTTTATCTTGTAAATGCAAGGCGGCTTGTGATAGAGCCTGCGGATGCAGGAAAGCAGGACTGAGATGTTCAATGATTTGTGGTGTCTGCAATGGAAAAACTTGGGAAAATATCAGCCAAGCCCTAGACGAATCCGATGAAGAAGACCTCCTTTCGCTGCTTGATGATTCTTCATCGACTGCAGGAGGAGAACCCATTTTTCCCGTTGAAGATATGGAAATCAACGAGCCAGGTCCGTCTAGCTTCTGCCAAAAATAATTTTAGTACCTAAGTGGATAAGGCTTACAGGGAAAACCAAGAAAACAAAATGCGCCGTGTACTCTTGGGTGGTGTGGAAACAAGAACAACATTTGAAATCGGAATTAATTGATTATAAATTACTAACATGGATTAATTAATGAATTATTCGATTAATTGAATGAAAGATGTTTCATGAGTAATTAATATTCATCAAGTCCTAAAATATCAAATTTGGTAACCCGTAATACACATATTATTTCCGAAATTCGCAGAATTTTTAATATGGCAAAAGCATTTGTGCCTTAACGGTTTACTTTAGCGAAAATATACTAGGAACATATTTTAATAGGAAATTTCCCTAATCAGCAAGCTTTAAATATAACGACAAACCAATTGAATAGCCCATTTCATAACAAGAGATATATTTATACACATATATGGAGATTGTTAAGGGCAGTTTATGGAGATTAACAGAATATGTTGTCCTTCAATCAGCTCTTGAGCCTAAACGGCTCACTTAAGCAAAAATATACTAGGAACATTTCTTGTGGAACATTTTTTTGTCTTCAATTTTTGTCTCAAAATATTTTTTAAGAAAACGCACAGTTTTGGAGATAGTACTACTGATGTTTCGGATAATACAGTTGAATATTACGATGAATGTCCATCAAGTAGTAGCAGTATGATGATTGAAACAGTAATGGTTGTTGACTCTGCAATTATTATGGAAGAAAAACTATTATTCCAGATATTTTGGGATTCTCTTTCCTCGTTTCTATGGAATGAAAATATGGATATTATTTCAATATACGTTTATTAAGGACAAATCAGATGATTTGCCCCAAAATGTCACTGCGTTTAGAGAATTTTCCCATCAGAGAGCATAAAAGAAAAATTCACTAGCTTGTCAGTGACAGTTTGTATTGAAAAAAGTTTGGAGAAGAGAAATGAAAGTATATAGGAAGAATATCAAATTTTTACTAAGCGAATGACCGGACTTCTGCTACTACTGCACTCGAAACTGTAGGTACAGATGGTGTGAATATAACGTGTGAATATACGTAAGTATTATATCTGAAATTCACGGAGAGCCCATACCAGACTTAAATGTGAGAACTCCTGGAGATGAAACTGAGTCCGATGATTCATCATCATTACTGGATGTATCAATTAAATAATCATTTCCTTGTGATAAAGGCAATGTCAGTGGCCAAGAATTGAGCAACACGATTAAAATGTTTATTGGTTGTAATGGCCCGTCTCAACCAGATATAAATTTTATAAAAGAGGGGTTTTTCTAATTTTTATTATTCACAGAAAAGTTATGCTGGGCAAATTATTTCAAGAAAATGGTCTAATAAATCACCTAAAGGAAATGAAGCGTATTGTGCAGCTTGTTGGTTATTCAATATAATGAATAGTTCATGGAAAGAAGGGACTTCTGACTGAAAAGGTTTGTCTCGAGGGGGCCCTAAATGATTTTGGTGGAGGGGGGGGTCAAAATATGAAGTTACGCCACTGTCCAAACCTGTTCCAATAAACAACCACACGTGTAATATTCGTTTATATATATGGTAGTGGATGTTGATTAAACATCAACGTTCAGAATTCGTATCTCAGCAACTTTACTCTGAAACCAAGTTTGAAACCAAAATACATCGTTTTATTGAAATCGGTTGAAAACGTATAGAAAACGTTGAGAAACTGTTGATTTGTATTTCTATTTTCTATTTCTATTTTCAGTAGAATTCACATTACGTGTGCTACGTGTGCAACGTCTTAGTTACGATGAAGTAACGTGAAGAGGTAACGTTACTGTAGAACCAGAATAAAACGTATTGCCTAACGACATTTTTCCGTTTTTTCAACGATGAATAATAGAGGCTCACAACTTGTGAGTACGGGAATGGTGAACCCGAGGAACCCTAGCCGGATATTCACCATACTTCAACTTGTCTTGGGTGATATCCTCTTCTCTCTTCCTTTTTCAATCTATCTATCGGCCTTTCTTGGCCAACTTATCTTTTTCTCCTCCCCTTCAAGCCCCACCTCAACATCAATTGGTGTGGGGAAGACAGACCGCGGCCGCTCGACGGATGAAGCATTTCGGGGCCATCTTTGCTATCTCCGGGCCAGATGGGACAATTTGTGGACATCTGTGGCAGAGATGGGGCGATTTGCTGATGTTTGTCTAGGTGGCCGAGAACTGGTCAACGAGGCTCTGGCAACCTAATCCAAGCTGTGGGAACCCGTGGTGATGGATGAATGGTACCGAGGTATGGTGTCGCTAACGGGGCCTCTGGGAAACAGAGTAAGTAGCCTTAGCCTTGTGCAGGGGGCACCACAGGGCTCGACCAACCCCTTCCCCCGTCACTCGTAGGAGAAGGAAAACTTTTGGCCTTCTTCGTAGACGAGAACAGAGATCGGAAGAGTAATCTTCAGGAACCTGAACGAAACGGGTCTTTCATATTGAAGTGGCACTCAATAAGCACCATGAGTCGTTTATGGTAAAATTGATAACGGCATGTAGGTAAGATACATTGGGCCACTAGGCCTAAGTGTCGTCGGAGAATTCGGTCAGAATAGCCTACAAAAGGGGTGGAGTGTTAGTGGGTATACCCTGGAGTCAGGGGACTCCCACAGTATCATATGGGGGAGTGGACCCATATGGTGTCCATATAGGATTTCAACCACCTCGATGAAAAAAAAAATAGAGGCGTTACTTGAACAATTCAACGTTTTTTCCACGTAGCTGTGTTTATTGGGATAAACCTACAAAGTTTCAAAACTTCCGGACTTATTTCCAGCTAAAAATCCCCAATGACTGGCCTAGTAGTGGAAAGCATATATCTACTCACATTATTGACCAGCAGTCCGCAGTAATCGGGAGCTCCCGGCTGCGCCAGCAAGTTGATGTCCAGGCTGACCGTCCTGGAGCCGTCGCCGGCCCGCATGCAGCCGGCGGTCCGGAAGTCACGCGCGTGCACCGTGCCGCCGAACGAGTCGTTCAAGGCCACCTTGATGCTCATGCGGCCGCCCTTGCACGTCGCCGACACTTGCGGGTCGAAGTCCGTGTCGATCAGCTGGCCCCATGTCTGGAAAAGAGGAATTGAGGAAGTTATTTTGACTGGTTAAAGACTACACTGTTTTACCCGAGGCTTCACCACTAACCAAACCGATTTTTTATACGCCTTAACCCGTTACCCCCGATGCTAACAAGACCTGACGGCTCGTAGTGAACAGCTCGTGACGTCAGCTAACTGAGGCCATCCATCCTTCGCGTGTCGAGTTTATTTAGGTATGTTTGAGAAGCGGTCGCATGCCCGAATTCTTTTTTTGTTGATTCATCAAAATAATGGGCGGAAAAATTATTATTTTGTGGAGTATTTTGTGTTGTGATAGGCAAAATAACAATGCCTTTCAAGTGTTGTGTTCCCTTTTGTCGGCTGAATTATGTGGGTGGTCCAAAAGTTCATGCTTTCAGTTTCCCGTTGGACAAGGAACTATCGACAAAGTGGTTACATGCAATTCACCGCGAGGATTTTACTTCTATTACTTCATCTAGGTACTGCAACCGATTCGAAAACTGGCAGAACTGTAACAAAAGATCATCTTATTCATCGAAATTATTAAATTAAAATTACCTAAAATCATTTTGCTACACAGAATTTTGAGAATTTCTAGTTGTATTAGAGCGTTATCGGGGGTAACGCTTGACCACAGAACTAAACCACATAGGAGAAATGGAAAACTGTGTTATGATGTTGTTTCAGCAAGGAGAACTAATATGGCGCCGTTTGCTCCTTGGAGAGTCTGCTCATTACTGAATGTGATCTGTCAGCTTTTGTGTTCATTTGGTGTTTATTTACAAGTTTACGTTTTTCTGACTTTTTTTTACGTTTTCGATGAGTTTTCGTTATGCTTCCTCCGATTCTTCAGCAGTATTGGCATATTTCCCAATATTTATTATTTTCGGTAAGTGATGTTTTTTTAGGTTAGTAAACAGACCAGCCTTGAACATTTCTCGGATCAATCATGCTTGAATATAATTTTTCATCATTCAGATTCGGTTTTAGGACAAACTATATGACTTGAACCGCTTATGAAGCCTTGGGGATACCTGGCATGTACATAAGTCCTAGCAGTGTTGTTTTCTCCAAGCATTTCGAGGAATCAAATCAGAGTTGTGGCGTCGGGAGTAGGATACCCTGCACTTTAAACCACCCCCACTCCTTCCAGATTTGGCACCACTTGACCACGCCCCCTGGACCAATCAGAGACTGGGGGGGTGGGGCTTATGGATGATGGGCGGGCCGTAGAGGGTGTTGCCTAGGTGGGATTGGTCCTTTGAGGTCAGGTGGGGATAGGGTGGAACCTATCGGAATTGAGAAGGGGTGAGCTTGGCTTTCATAGGCCAAGAGGATGACATTGATGGATTTCGACGTGAAGGGGGATGTAACATCGATGTGATTGGTTGTGGGTGTTGTATATTGCTGTTGTTATGATTGGTGGCTTGGAAATGGCTGACCACGTAGCAGTGATTGTATGCCTTGTGGGAGTGAACTTTGGTGTTTGCTTCATCTATTGGTCAGTATGAGCGTAGGACGGCCGCAGCCGAATGATGCGATGATGATAATGGTAATGCTCTTAGATTATCTGTAGTGATGGTGGAGTCCAGCCTGCCTCGCAATGGCATTTTTATTAAATGGGCGATGGTAGTGGCGGTCGAACGATATCATTCTCCATATTGATGTATTGACAATAATAAATGGTTCGACATCGTTTATTTTTCTTCACCTCTTGCCTATGCCTTATTGGTCGTCATAGTTTTGTATTCTCTTCGAGGCGAATGGTGCTTATTTTTTGTGAGTATGGCCATCATCATCATTTATATGTGTCATTTCATCAATGATGTCGATTGGTGTCTCTGGAGAACATATTCGAGTTGGATGAAGGGTGGGGTCCGCCTCCTCATTCAAGAACTGTGATAGTCAAACTTCATGTTCGAAACGAATGATTTTCCGAGTAAAAGTGATTACCACTTCGTTGCATACATATTCGGTGATATAATATACAAAATTCCTGGAGTGTTAATGGAAAGTCAAGAACATAATATGTATGCCTTCACCTACTCCTTCTCCTATATCTCGTGAATGGTGTATGCAGATTGAACTCATGAGGATATATTATTATAGAGAGGTAAAACTTTATTTTCCAGGAATCAATCACTTACCCATCGCAATCAGAAAACAGAACAGCGTAGAATGGATCGTATGAAATGTATGTACAGCTACTGAATCATCATCAAGAGAGCTGATGGAATACTGAAGAACTGTCAGTCATTTGTTGACTGATATTCCACAACAGCTGGTATAAGACCTAAACATAGCAAAATATAGCACATAGCACTCGTTTCCACATCACCCAAGAGGTAGAGTTTTCGATGCGTTTGCTTTTTTTTTTTAAATGTGGAAAAGCATCCCCGGTAGGCCTATACAAAACCACACTCTAAAAATTTGGGGTGAATAATTGATTATAGAACAGGTGACTGTTGATATGAAATCAGAGCAGTTTTTGTTTGTTCTAATTCTGACTGCACGAAGGTATATTTCTAAATCAATAGAAACACTTCATTAATTTGCCAGATGTTTGTGTATTTTTCATTGAACTATTTACCTCAAATTTCGAAAGTTGTCGTGAAAGCGGCTGATTTTTCAGAATTATCTGCACAGGTCCGGTCGTGGTAACGATTACTTATACTCTCGAGTTTTGTGATTGTCAGTGGAATTTATTTTTTCTATAACATGTTTATTTATTGTATAGAACACTGTTTCCGATTAGAATGCTTCAATCGTCTCATATTAGTTTTTCACCTGTCTGATAGAGTATAAAAGGAAGGACGATATTGTTATTTTATAAAATATTTATGAAGATTTGAATTTTTTAAAACCGTAAGGTACAGAAGTGTGATCTTCGAGAAATTTCCGCTTCAAACTTACAGGTTCGTACTTTTTGGTAACATCAACAGTAATAACCTCATGATTTTTGGTTCGCCGGAACTGTTTGCTCAAAATGTTTATAGGGGGGCCAGGGTTCAGAATCATATCTTTGATTGAATCGAAATTCACAAGCTGTGAAGCCGCATAGTTAAGTGAAATGCCTTTAACTTTGCAAACAACTCTGAACTCCTGGTCATTGGTTGACCATAGTTTGTAGGCGTAATTTTTCGGGCCACCAGATACAAACTCTGTGATGTGGGAACCAGGGCCATAACATTCCATTTCGTCTGTCATATCACCAATAAATCGACCAGTAGGAATGTCAAATTCCTCTGGTCTGGACACATAAATTACAGAGTCTGTGTCATAGTATAACACCCTTTCTCCGAGCTGTTGTAAATAGCTGTAAAGCTTCAACCGTGCTGAGGCTGTTACATATGTAGCTATTACCACATTGACTGTGGACAGAGTGTCATAGCTTTCCTCTTTATACTCCCAATTAACAATGACTGTATCTTCGTTTATCGGTAGTACTGTATTGACAATAAGGGAAGGGTCCGTCATCATCGAAAATAATTCTGATGGTTGATTGACTATAGATGTTTTGGGCTGGTTTTCACGCTGACCAAACTTACCCCAGAAGGAATTTAGCATAAGCTTGGCCAGTGCTCTCAAACCAGGGTTATCAGCTATTTTAGAATATTCCAACAAAACATCCTCCCGTTGTAAAAAATCTTCAATGTACCTTTCTCTCTCCTCTTTGGTCTCACAATTTTTTGGCCAATCTGATGATTCGGTTTTCACCTTTATGAATTTGTTCATCATATCGGTGAATAGACCAGAAACATCTTCACCAAATTGTAAAGTATCGTAAGACCAAATCTCTTTGATCTCGATAATTCGATACCCCACCTCAATGGCTTTTAATATCTCGGCAACAGTCCATGTTCCTGTTAATGTACGTTCTTCATCAGTGTGATGACAACTACTAGTATTACATTCTTCACCACACATACGACAAAGAACAAACATCAACTTGTTGTTCATTCTCTGCGGTAGAACAGGATGAAAAAGATCTTGAGGTGGGAGAATGGCACATTTAACGAGACCTGAGATAGAGGAAAGAGGAACACCACACGCCTCCTCACCAACAAGAACTTTCGGATGGCCGACAGGAAATTCGCCATATTTACATACCCATGGGTAGAGCGAACAAACATCAACGTATTTTATTTGTTCACCATTCACGGCCTTGTAATATTCGACAGTGTTTCCCGTCCTTCCACCATAGAAAGCATCTCTAGGGTCAAGAGGTAGATTTTTTAGAAGGGGATGATTGCTGACATAGCTGCAAAGTTTTTTACTGCTGGAAAGTTCCCTGCGAAAATCACACTCCCATTTTTCAATAACCTCATATCCTAAGGATTCGATTTTATTGATTCTCGCAATGGTCGTATCATAACGATGGCTCATAGACTCGGAAGGACAGTTTTTGAGAGGAGTATCTCTCTGATGATTATAGCAACGGGGACACCCGTGATAGAAACAGCCTTGAAACTCGAAAACTTGTTTTGTTTCGTCAGAATAGCCATCAACTTTGAGATTACCGATGAGAGCCTCTGAAGATCGGCAGGCCTGTTGGATTTTTATATCCCGTAGTTTCTCCTCCCAAAGTAACCATTGAGTGGCTATCACAGATTGATTATCACGATGCCTGTAGCCTTTCTTGGGAACGATACCTATGGTGTTTGGTTTGAGAAAATTCCTACGGAAAACTTTATTGCATGTCGAAGCAATTGTTACGGCTTCAGTGAACGGACACACATTAGTTTCAGACAACATGAGTTGTCGGAATTTCAAACAGGCCTGGGTCAGTATATCCACATCCGAAATACAATAATCTATGATTTCTCGGGAGAAATCGAAAACATAATGTTCAGCGACTCTTTCAGAATGCCATTTTATGAGTGATGTGCGTGCATCTGAAACGAGATTGTCAGGGGTATAGAACTCTATAGAAGGAATTTTGCCCTTGTAATTCTGATTCTCCACGCGATTGAAGAGATGGGGGAAATATCCCTTCTTCAATTCAGAGAAGCCGAAAGA